GCAGTTATTGATTATTTTCTAGAATAGCCGCAATTTATAAAGCTGTAAACTGAATTGTAAGCTGTATCCGTCGCACCAAGATGCCAGTGCACAAGAAAAGGCAGCGGTGAGGAAATCAAGCTGCATTCTTCCCTTTACACAAAGAAGCTTTTGCCATGTGTTGCTGGTGCATCCAGCTGGTTTAGGGAGTCAATCCGCCACAACCAGTTGATTAGTGTTGTGGCCAAGTGGAAGGGAAAGCTGTGTGTTCCTCCCGGATCTGAGGCAATGACCCTCCTCATCTACGAGAACTCCTACACCAGATGGAACCTCTGCTTCCAGCCTGGGAACAATGACTGTGGCAGAAAGAAATGGACTGCCCCCAAGGCAGCAAGGACTCGGAGACAAAAAAGTTTGCACCAAGTACTCAAACTCCAAGTGGGCAATGCCAAGTATGGAGGTTGGTCCAATGCAGACCGAAGGCGCTACAATGCCCTCAAGCTTTAGGTTCAGGAAGCCCGTGCCAAGCCCAATGCCCAAGATGCAGAACAACAAATGCTGAAATGGATGTTGCAATATTGTGGAAAGGAAGACCACGAGCCCGATCGGATGCCGTGAACAAGAAGAAGAAGAAGGGCAAGCGTTCCTACGATGATCTGGTGGACTGTGACTAGGGTCCTTCCAGGTTGTCAATTGGCAGCAAGGCCCCATTGAATGGGAAGCCCTTGGCCGCCTTTGATTCCCCTTGGTGCTTTTTGGCAGGGCTTTTGTGAGAAATTTTGTTGCCCAGTTCTCTCTGTTCGGAAGCCTTCCGGTGCTTTTTCGGTACCCATTGCCTCCCTTTCCTTTTGCTGATCTTGTTAATTTGGTCGGTGTGGTTGCCCATCTGGTACCCTTTTCACCCTTTTCAACCCTTTCACCATGAGGATCTTTTACGGTGATCCTCTTTTTGGTGACTCAGTATGCTCTATTTGGATTAGCGTTAACAATCTAGCCTTTTGATATTCCCACTCTTATCCTAGTCTTATCTCGTTTTAGCTGGTTTTAGTTGAAACTTGGCCACCTGCAGGTCCGTTTTGGTAGGTAACGCCTCTGCGATTAATAGCCCCTCTGTGCAGGATCTATTGTTGTTGGGAATGCATTTCTTCATGTTCTGACCATCCAAAAACTGATGGCGATGTGACTTCTTTTAGTAGACAATGACTTAACGGTTGGATACACCAATGGCACAAAGGGTAACATACCACGTACTGAAGTTGTTTCCCCTGCCAGTAGTAGATTGTAAAGTACGTCACTTCCCAACCTGGAGCACCGGTTGCCTAATTGGAACCTTGGACTTGGTTCGGAAGGAGAGGTTGGGATGTGCTTCCCAAACGAGACCTGAGGTCTCGTTTTCAGAATTACCTACAATTGCGCTTCTTAGATGAACAAGGACGGACAGTTCACGCTGGGAGTTCGGAGATGAGACCTACTGGACGCTCAGCATCCTACACAAATCCACTGGACCCCTACTTCCCCGATCTTGCACCTCTGTTCAACCAGCTCTGGAAAACGTCGAGTCCTCGACCTGACCCTCTTCAACAAGTGTGAGACAGTGGTAGTTGGTAGTGGTTTCACAGCAGGCATTCCTGCTCGTCCACTCCCACCCACACAACACATTTGAGGATTTCCTTACCACTTTGGAGCCTTGGAAACAGCTCTTTATGACGAGCTTGAATGGATGGTGGAGCTTACTCCGTCCTGCAGATTTGTCACAGCCATGCCCTTCTGGGTGCCAGCGATGGGGCTGCAGACATTGAAGCCGTAAGGCGAGTTTTGCTTTGGTTCTGGCAGACAATCGCGGTCAGATTGTGCTCCGGTGCTCTGGTCCCGTTTTTGGCATGGTTCCGACATCCTACAGGGCAGAGGCTTATGGCATTCCTCCCCTACTTGCCTTTTTTGGCGATTGCTGGAGTTCTATGACCGAACCAGCATGAAGAATTATGTGCACTGTGCGACAATGAATCCGTTACCAACAAGTGTGCTGGCTGTCTGGATTACGAGGGCTGGTACCCCAATGATTCCTTAGACTCTGATGGGATTCTTACAGCAGATCGAGGATCGTTTCGGCTGCCGTCACTGTGCCAAAGATGGAGCACATCAAATCGCACCAGGACAAGCAACAAGGCCATCGAAACGCTACCTTGAAGGCTCAACTGAACTGCAGAGCTGATAAACTGGCAGGCAGCTACATGACCCGACACATCAACAGGACCACTCCAAGGTGCTCCGATTTCCAGCCAACCTGGCCCAGCTGCACCTTCCCAAAGGAACATGCACGTACAAGCTTCCCAGAACACTGCGGCATCTCAGGAACGACCAGCCCTTGTTCGACCACATTGTCAAACTGAACCCTGATTGGGACGAGGACACCCCCACACTGGTTGATTGGACAGCCCATGTCATGCTGTAAACCGTCATGAGATCCACAAACCGACAATTGTGAAGTTCTATTTCAATTGTTGCCAGTTGGGAAACGGATACACCGGGACGACTGCAAAGTCTTGAGGTCAACTCAAGACGGGTTTCAAGGTAGTTTGGATGCAATTAGCAGGTGCTATCAGGTGCAATAGGTACAATCCTTTGTCCTGGTCAACAGGTACACTTATTTGTTATGCTAAACTAAGAATTGTGAGCACACAGGGCTCCTAAAGTCAAATACAGTGGCACATTTCGAAGGGCCGCGAAATGGGACTTCCTACAGGCCGTAAACGGACTTCCAGCCACTTCTGTGCATATAAACCTTCATCCAGGACCTCACCTGACCACCAAACATTGATACATAGGGACATTCATAGTCCAGGACTTCATAATGTTCATCAAACATTTAGTAATCATGCTTGTCCCAAGACCTCATAGTATCTCCATCATCTGTAGTGCCAGATACTGAGCCATGCCCAAAGATACTTAGAGTCATGCCCAAAGATACTTATGAGTCATGCCTAAAGACTTAGAGCACAGGCCAACCATACAATATCCCAGAGTGAAACACTTCCAGGCAGCACACTTGTTTCCAGGGACAGACAAGCTGAGAAACCAGCATACTGTGTAAACACACCAAGAGACAGACACAGTGGGAAGCCAGCAGTAATGTTTTCACATCATGTGGCTCCAATCCAACTCCTGTCACTCCCCTTGGGTGGCGGCACAAACACAGAGACAAACATACAGGGGTAAGGTGGGCTCTTCAATCATACAATCGCCCGTAAAGTACCTGCTTGCAGAGCGGTACATCTTGTGGGGTCCAAGAGGCTTGGTCCATATCCGCGAGGTTCCATCCTGATGCGATCTTCCCAACCCTGGCACACCTATGGCAACAGCTTCCCTGCACTTGTGGTAGGCGCAGCATGGTGCTTCTTCTTGAGGGAGGAGGACGGCAATTGTAGGTTGTTGACAACTGACATGTTGTCAACCAAGATGGAGGTTGGGTTCTTCACTTCAACTCCCAACATTCTGGCCTTGTACCTCATGGCAAGGGCAGCCTCAACTCCAATTCTTGCTGTGACCAACTCAGCCCCATAGGTGGAGCATTCAATGGTGGCCAACCTCTTGGAGTAGGACTTGGTGGGCATCTGTCCAAAGAAAGCTATGTAGGAAGCCACACTGGACATGTCAATCTTGTTTGATGCATGGCTAGCATCCACCATGATGACTTGGGTGATCTCAGGTACAAGGGGCTCAGGGGCATCTGGGTCAATGGGCTCCATGGAGTCAGGGTACAATCCGGTCCAATCATTGTCTTCAGAGAACTGGAAATCCCCTAGGACGGCTGGGGAAGGGTTGGCAGCAAGCCTAAGCTTGGGCCTGAACTTGAGGTATACACATACATCCTCAGCAAACGGGCCTCATTATTGAAGTCAATAGCTCTAAGGGTTTAACTGGAGGTTAGAAACAATTATGAGCTATTGGCTTTGGTGGCTGTCCCCGTTGTCATTGGTAAATGACCGTTGGGGATCTGCCGGATCTACATCTATATGACGGTCCCGCGAGCCGGCCAGTCAGGCTGGTTGGCTTGGTGGGACGTGCTTCTGGTGGATATAAGGGTCAATGTCGCAGTGGTATTGGGACTTTAACACACCCTCGCACAAGGAGTACGGAGTTGTGTTGATGTTGTGGGCTTGTGAAGGCATTGTGGAGCTGTGTGTGGTGTTAGGCTCATACAGGTAGGTTGGTCGCATCCGTTGGTGATGCTTAGCTGGGTGGTGTTTGGAGGGGTAGTCTGCAAGGTTGAGGGAGCCTGGTTGCCAGTACACGGTGTACTGGTTCTGGTGGACGCGGTCTTGCAGCCAGTAGAAGCGCATATCTATGGCCTTGGAGCGTTTTTGCTTCACGGTGTCATTGATGATGCCTTCTGCGACTTTGTTGTCGATGCGCATAGGGGTGGCTGGTTGTGGGTGGCCTAGGTATTCGAGTGTGGTTCTGAGGGGGCATCCCTCTTGCCCGCATTTGAAGGCAGCTCCGGTTTCAGCTTCGGCTGCTGAGGAGACAACCATCTTGAGAATGGGGCTGATGACGAGGATTGGTCCGTTGTGAAGTGGTTGTTGTGGTGGAGTGGTGCTGTCACTGCAATAGAAGTAGCCCGCTGCTCGTGATGGAACTTGAAGATGGCGGTTTCGCCGGGCTTGCGTTTGACTTGGCAGCGTCCGCCAAGCATGTTGAACTGTGTTGCCTTTTCGTCGTGGTCTTTGTGGCGGTTGCGACAAGTGAGACTGGTGTGGGTTAGGTCCCATTGGACTCCGTGGGTCCAGCAGTAGGCCATGGTGTTGCCGGCCATGTCTTTGACAAAGTATGGGCTGCTGTTGGTGTTGGCATTGTTGGCTTGATGCTGGTCGTGGAAGCCTGCTTGTTTGGTTGTGATGGAGCGGAGGCGTTCGGTGTTGGCCTTGGCGAAGAATGTCTGTAAGTTGGTCCATGTTTGGTCGTCATCGGCTTTGTTGCGCCATTTTTGAGACTAACGTGAAGACGCCGCTGTTTCCAAATTTTTAAGTGCAGACGGATGGTGGCTCTTTCAGTGATGTTGTCATGGTCGCGTGCGAAGGAGCGGGCATCGTTGATCTGATGGAAGAGCTGTTCGATGGGCTGTGTTGTGTCCATTTGGCATTCATGCGGTCGATGTTTTTGTCAAGGTCGTCATTGGTGAGGGTTCCATACTGTTCGTTGAGGTGGACAATGAGGTCATTGTAGCTGAGTGTGGAGTATCCTTCATCGGGGTCTTGGAGAGACTTGTAGTAGACTTCTTCGACGGCTTCCATGGTCTTGCGTAAGAGGGCCTTTTCGGTGGATTGGAAGAGCTGGAATTCGGTGAGGTCATACTTGTGTGCTGAGACCATGTGCGTGATTTGGGGTCCGGTGGCTCCATCGGGGACATCTGGGCGTGTTCCTGGATGGACTGGGTCGACCCATGGCGTTCCGGCTACTGCAGGCCTTGCATTGAACCTATCTAGGGTGTAGCAGAGGCGTAAGTGTCCTTCGTTGCCATTGCCGCGGAGGCTATGGATCTGACGTGCATTGTCTTTGTTTTCTTTTTCTAGGCATTTGATGCCTGTGCGGGTGGGGCGGCCAGTGATGCTGGTGAGTGTTGAGTGTATGAAGTCCTGCGTCGGATCATACTTGATGGTCGTCATGGTGGTAGTGTTGCGTGTGGCTGTTGGTGGTGGTTGATGTAGATCAGAGCTGGATTACCGGGCTTGGTCGGTAACCGGTGGTTGAGAATTGCTTTCTAACTATTGAAGTCAATAGCTCTAAGGGTTTAACTGGAGGTTAGAAACAATTATGAGCTATTGGCTTTGGTGGCTGTCCCCGTTGTCATTGGTAAATGACCGTTGGGGATCAGCCGGATCTACATCTATGTGACGGTCCCGCGAGCCGGCCAGTCAGGCTGGTTGGCTTGGTGGGACGTGCTTCTGGTGGATATAAGGGTCAATGTCGCAGTGGTATTGGGACTTTAACACTCATGACCTTCCCTGGGCTCCCTATCATACCTAGCCATGGTATTGACAGTGTACTGGAAGTCAATTCTCCCCAGTGTAACTGCCCACTGACCACAACCAACTAACGTCTGGTACTGGGTAACCCTGGTGCTGTCCAAGTAGGGGGACTCATCCAACTCGGGGTGATCTTCTGGTTCCATCATGGGGGATCCATAGTTTTTCAATGTGATCTTGTAGAGTGCTTCAAGCTTGGGGATCAAGTTCTCAATGTAGGTCTTGGCAGAGAACTCCCAGAGACCTGTCTCAGGGTTGAAGGTCAAGTCTCCTCCACTGTAGTACTCAGGGGTGCCTACTCCTTTCATCTCAAAGTGGTAGATGTCCTTGAGGGGTTCAATCACTTGGTGAGGGGCCTTGGAGAACACCAGAACATCATCAACAATGACCCCAACATACTCATAGTGGTTCACTTTGTTCCTCATCCAAATGTTGCTATCAGCTCTGGAAGGGTTGAAGCCCATCTGGATAAGGGTGTCTGCAAGCGTCTGCCACCACATGGCACCAGAGACCTTGAGCCCGTACAATGCCCTGATGACGATGCACAGGACCCCAGCTAGGTCTCCCCATTCATCTCCAAGGGTCACACAGATCTTTTCAACTGTGAGGGACATCAGGTAGGCATACCCAACATCCCCTGCAATCACCTCTAGCTTCATCAATGCAGCAATGACAAACACCATCCTGATGTTCTCGAGATCAACAACCCCAGAGTAGAGGTCATATGGGTGGTCCTCAGTCATATGGCCACCTGCAACACACCTGGCTCGGTGCCTCCCATCAAACTTCAAAAGCGCCAGAGCAACTTGATCTCCTGGTATCATCGGTCACCTCCCCTGGTTTGGCTTTTTGAAGCAGGGGAACCTATTCTTGAGTGTGTCCACCCCCAATTCAATGGCATCGGTCCACAATGAGTTGCCATTGATCTATCCAGCTTGTAAGCCTCTGCCTTGGTCCTTGGAACCCCCACTCCAAACTCATATCTGACAGCACCACCAGTCCTCTTCTTATCAGCCTCCATTGCTTTCTGATCCTGATGAACTTCTTCCTGTTCTTCAGATAATTGTGGGCCCATTTCCATCTGGACTCATGGACAATGCCTTGGAGGCTGCATACTCTGCAGGGACTGTTGGGCTGTCCTTCCTGATCACTTCCATGGGTTCCCAGTTAGCCTCATCCTCAGGTGAAACCACTCCACTTGACCCTTGACATCGATCTTTCTTTGTCTACCAGGTTGTTTGGACCATTTGTGGTCTAGATCTTATCAAAATCCCAGTACTCTGCATCAGCATCATCTGACCTGGTTAGCATCTTCACGATCTCTTCATACTCATAGATCTTCTGCTTCCACCCTTGAATTCCACCCTTGTTGGGTGGTACCATCCTC